AGACGAGGAAGGACCTTCTCCTAGAGCCACCAAACAGACGAGGAAGGACCTTCTCCTAGAGCCACACAAACAGACGAAGGACCTTCTCCTAGAGCCACACAAACAGACTGAGGAAGGACCTTCCCCTAGAGCCACACCCTGAATTCAGACTTCAACTCTCCCAATCTGTGAGACAATAAAGTTCTGTTCTTTAACGCCACCCACCTGGGATATTTCTGTTTTGGGAGTCCTAAGACACTAAGACACCCCGTCCCAGGCCTGGCCTGCTTGCCACCCCTCTCTTCTACCACCAGAGAGCCTGGATTTCCGGGGGAAACTGAACCTGTGTGGAAGCCTCACATGAGAGGGGGGAGTCACATCTCAGGAATTCACACTAATGGAAGGAAAACAAACTGAGTTAGTGAAAATTTCAAGTTGCTTTATTAACACTGCTGACAGGGCCAAGGGCCATGTCTTCAGAGACACTTCCAAGTGCTTTCATAAACGCTGTGGAGCAGATCACTCACAACTAGCACATCGCCGTTGTATGCCAACACTGCCAAAGCAGGTTTCCAAAATGGTGAAGTCGAGAGTCAGCCCAACACACTTCTCCTCTATTGGCTACTAATCATCTGATTCGCAAACACCTTGTTCCCCACGGCTGCCTGAAGGGAAGTGTTAGCCAAGCGGGTCGGAAGTATACTTTTCCCATGGGGTGAAGAAAGGAAGGAGGTTCTGGATTAGTGAGCTCTTCCAGCTTCACGGGGCTCACACCAGGAAGGTGAGATCATATAGGAGACCCACAATTTACCCCTAGGCCACTATCATATGCTGTCACTAATCTACTACGTCCTAGGGTTTGTAACAGCAAGATACAAATATTTGTCCTAGAATGAATCTCAACCATTAACTCTCACATAAGAAATCTCCCCAGCCTTACCCTCGAAGCCAATATAAAGCCTCCATGTGGCCACCTACCCAGTGGCTCTAAGGGACAGCGCCTGCACGCCTGCACTATCAGTCATTCCTAACAGGCAGGACTTATGGAGAGCTGCCGCGTGCACGTGAACAGATGTGTTTTCTGAGCTGGCAACAAGGCAGGAGATGCCCAAAGCCACTGGGGGGCAGGTTTTTCTATTCTGAGATCAGCAGAAACAACAATCCTGAAACACTAGCCCTATTCCTCCACTGATTTAAAAGGGGGGTGGGAGGGGAGAAAAATTACTGTTTTTCAACAAATGGAACTTTCTTCTTGTTAGCTGCCGTCAAGTCAGCCTCTGACTCATGGCAACTCAACGTACCACTGAATGACTCTTAAACCTGGTCCTACACCATTCCCGTGACTGACTGTGAATTGCACTGTTGTGATCCACAGGGTTTTTACCGGCTGATTTTCAGAAGTAAATGACTAGGCCTTTCCGAGTCCATCATTGTCTGGAAGCTCTGCTGAAACCTGTTCAGCATCACAGCAACCCGCAAGCCTCCACTGACAGGTGGTGGCTGCGCATGAGATGCACTGGCCAGGAATCGAACCCAGGTCTCCTGCATAGAAGGCGAGAGTTCTACCACTGAGCCAACAATGCCCTCTTCCTTCCTTGTAACAAAAAAGCCGCCATCAAGTCAACTCCAACTCACGGTGGCCCCATGGTGAAAATCAGCTGAACTCAGCCTTCAGCAATTTGCTAAGGATAATCAGTCTGAAACACAAATGCACAGATCTGAAAATGAAGCATCTGACAGTGCGACATGGGAAGACGTCCTTAAGGATGACGATGTCTCCGGGGGAAACGCGGTGGTTTAGAAAGGGCGTCCAAAATAATGCCCCTCGAGCGGTAAAGCGCCAAAACCGTCTGCTCCAAGTGTCAGGAAAATGATTCGCTGTGGAACCTGATGGCCTGTGAAAGCGCGTTCTACTCCACCGCCTATACAATCCCATTTAGGGGAAGTGCCCAGTCTAACTGGATAGTTCACATGGAGAAACACCTTTCCTTTCAAAGGGTCTCTAAATCACAGTAAATAACAATCACTTTTGTTGCTCTCCTAAAAATGGAAAGCCCAAAAGGCGATCCCCGCCCCCTTCCAGGCCTCTGCACACGGGCCGTCTGTGTTGTTGGTTTATCTCCGACGCCCAGCAACAAAGGATGAAGAGCATTGGGAGGCTGGCTCCCAGGGTCTGAGGAGGGGAATCTCGGGCACTGCGTTAAGCTAAATGAAGTCTCCAGGATGCTTGTACTTTATTTTAATTCCTGATAAATACATTCAGGAAAACCAAAGCTAGGCCACCAGGGGGCCAGCAGCCCCATCTGGTTTTCCTCCAGCCTCCGAGTCACTGCCCCCAACAAAGAAAACGGGAGCCGTGTTTGGTGACATGAAATGATACAAGGGCTCTGTCACCTGCCTCAGTCAGCAGGGTTCCCACGGTCCACAGGAGCAGGTCCAAGCTCCTGGGTGCCTGCCTCTAAGGACTTGCCATCCCAGCCCCTGCTGCCCACCCAGTGGCTCTAAGGGACAACGCCTGCATGCCTGCATCGTCAGTCATTCACAATAGGCAGGACTTATGGAGAGCTGCCGCGTGCACTTAGCTAAGCACTAGGTTAGTAATCCTCACAGCCACCCGGAAGGAGGGTGCCATCATTGTCACATTTAAAAATGGGGCAGTAAAAGCCAAAGGTCTGAGTGCCAGGGGAAGCGTGCCTGGCCACAGGCTCTCCCCCACAGCTAACTGCAGGCAACAGTGAAGGTAGAGAACACAGGGAACTTCGTGACCGGCTCAGTGTGGCCCAAAACATAATTCATTTCCTTAATTCCCATTCAAATAAAGGCATGTGGTCTATCAGGTTATAAATGTCAGGAAAACAAAGGACAGTGCCATCAGTAATGGGGACAAAAAATAAGAATCTAAAAAAGAAAAACATATATATAGATTTATACAAACACATTAATACACATATACGTACACATGCATATGCACACACATATATACACACACATATGCTAATATACACACACATAACCTCCAATGCAGAAGCCCTGTGGCCAAGGCCCACCACGCCCACCACCCAAAAGGAGTTCTAACTGGAAGAGTGAGGACCCCTGGGACCTGCCCTGTTCTGCCTCTAATCAGCTCTACGGCCTTGGAGGAATGACTTTGGGAACTTCAAGTACCATGTCTACAAGACGACAACTCTAACTGAACCTCCTCTACCTCTAAAACTCCAAGTTAAAGGTTCACGGGGGTCAATTTCCAGTGGGATCGCAAGCGGGTTTCATGCGGAACCCAGGGAATGCAACAGGGCTGGCCTACCTGTTTGGAATCTTCGAGATGTCTATCTTCTCTCTACAGGCAACATAAGGTATCACCACCACTTTTTTCAAATCTGGCAGTCCTGAACAGGGAGGAGAAAGAAACTCAGGGTCACAGGACACCAGATACTTAGTTGCAGACTTTTTTATAAAATGTAACACAACCTAAAATCAAAAAAGGAAACTAGCTGTCATTGAGTCAACTCTAACTCATGGCAACCCCACGTGTGTCAGAGTAGAACTGTGCTCCACAGGGTTTTCAATGGCTGGTTTTTCAGAAGTAGATCACCAGGCCTTTCTTCTGAGGTGCCTCCGGGTGGACTCAAACCTCAATCTTCTGGTTAGCAACTGAGCACATTAGCCCTTTCCACCACCCATGGACTCCAGGGACAAGATTAGCCAGGGTTTTTGTAGTGCTTGTGGCTACCAAGTGACTTTCCATGCCCCTGGAAAGGCCCCTGATCTCTGTACCACCCTGTGTCCTCCCATGCCGGCCCAAAGCCAGAGAGGAACCCCGCACCTTTAACAACCTGCTGCAGCTTGTCCATGTGGTTGTGCTCTTTGCCATTGTACACAACGGCCTCCACGGAGAAGATGAGCTTTGGCTGGATTTGAGAAAACCGGTCCAGAACACCCTGGAAGCAGAAGGAAAATGGCATCACAGGTCACCAAAAGGCAAAAGCCTTCAGCTACCAGGAGGACCTCTTCCCGTCAAGGGAAACAAAAACACGCATTATCAGTACACTAGCCACATTTCCACGTCCCCACCACCAGTGGCCAATAAAGGCAGCCAATCAGAAGGTTATCTGCATCTGAGAAGTTACCGCCATTTCAAGGAAAGCAGCAATAGAAAACACCAAAAGTACTTACAGACATACCTGATATAGGAAAATGCAAGTTTATGAAGTACAAAAGCATAGGCTGAATGCGTTACCAACAAGATGAGAACATTTCCTACTCTGCAGAAAGACTCATCTAAGGTTCCTTTTAACATGGCTCCTCTGGCGTCTATTAAGATCAGCTTCACCTTCCAAAAGGCAACTCTAGCTCTGCAAAGCGGCCACATGCTTTAGTTCTCTTTTAATCTTGAATTAAAGAAGAGCCTGAATCCTCCACATAGTATGTTTTTGCCAACCGACTACATCACCCTACAAACGTACACACTAGTAAACCAGCCCATCTTCAAAGCAGCCACCCACACATGGGTACGACCCTCCTGCCAAGCACACTCCTTTCACAGGAGAAGGAGTATCTCCAAAGCAGGCAGATTCACCCTATTCCTGAAACTTCCGCGAGCTGACAAGCACAGCCTCTTAACACACTCAGTACGGTCAGAGCAGTGTCCCCAGAATAACAGATTAGAGCTCTCTCTGAGACAAGTCTTCTATTTCAGTCCCCCTCCCAGCCATCCTGAAGTTCAGACCATGTTAGAGCAGGGCTTCAAACTGGGTTGTTCTGGTTGGAAGCCCTGCTGAGAATCTGCATTTCTAACAAGTTCCCTACTCAGAATTTCCACTCCCAGGTATACTGAATCAGAATCTACAGTTTAACAAGATTTCCAGGTGATTCTAATGTATAAATTCCCGGGAACTTGTCAGAGATGCAAATTCTCAGCAGGGAACTTGTTTGAAATGCAAACTCTCAAAAGGAGTTCAAAACGGAATTAACCCCGGTTTGAAGTCCTCCCACGAAAACCGGGAGCTGGTTTGAGGCATCCACCAAATGGCTCTTCTACCTCTCCCACACCAGCAGGAGTTAAGTGTCTCGAGATCAAGGCCCAGGGCTACTTGAAGGGCACAAGCGAGGGGCCAGGACCACAGTACAAGGACTTGGGGAGGTAGGTCTCCACCTGGGCTGCAAGCTAATGCCTCCTGCAGTGGGGCTACTAGGTAATTAAGCTAATTAGAGAAGCCAATCACCTGGTCTAGAGTGGGCTGGCATTTGTTTTTAAGGCTCTCAGGGGACTCTGAACACGCAATCAGGAGGGGAAGCCCCCACTGAGCAGGAGGAGCAGTCTCTAAGGCAATGACTCCATCAGGTGAGGTGGGGGCCGTTGGGTGAGGCAGGGCCGATCCAAGTGTGGTCCTTGGACAAGCGGTGCCAGCATCCCCTCGGATCCCAGGCCTACTGAATCAGATACTCAGAAGTGGGCCCCCCAATCGGTGGATTAACAAGCCCCCCAGATAATCCTGACATAGCTCAAGTTTGAGAACCACCAGACTGAAGGTTGAAGGTCTGAGACTCTAGTTTCAAAGCTGACCAGTTTTCCGAACCAGAAACTGAATTCACAGAGGAGACTCAGAGGGGAAAGCATCTGTTTCTTGCATCCACTATGTGCCAGCGGCCACACCAACAAACAAAAACCACCTGGGTTCCTGCTCCTTGGAAGATACAATCTAATAGGAAAAATTAGAAAAACATATTTGTTTTTGTTTCAATTTCCAATTGTTTTCAGCAAACTACACTCACAATTTACGTAGCTGGGAAAAGAAAAGAAAAAGAACTGAAACCGTGAAACAAACAGGTGACGCTACCAGGGCTGGCCAACCAGGGTCCAGCTCTGAGCACCAGCTATCCACCTGTGCAGGAGAGAACGCCAAGAGCCGCCTTCACTGCCTTCACAGTGCACGAAACACACACCTATGACCACGCGTCTGACCTGAATCCGGTGCTCAGTAACCAAGTAAGCACTGAAACCAGGACTTCAAACCAATTCACTCCGGTCCAACTCCCTGCTGAGAATTTGCATTATACATAAGAATCACCTGTGGATCTTGTTAAAATGTAGATTCTGATTCAGTACATCTGTGGTGGAAATGCAACTTCTCAGCAGGGGGTTGAACTGGAATTAACTGGTCGAGGCCCTGGCTGAAACCAGCAGAGCCAGAAGAACAGCTGTTCTGTTTATGCACATGCGTGTTTGCACGCACATGTGTGAGCACACGCACATGTGTGAACACACACACACCCATACACACAGCTACCTGCCTGAGGACGGCAGCACAGGTTGTGGGTGTGGCTCTCAGGTGTGAGGATATTAGACATGGCCTCTTGACATCTTTGAAGATGTACCAGCTCAGAGGCAGGGGCAGGTTAACCAGTAAGCAAGGTATGCCTGGGCTTACAGGTTAACCAGTAAGCAAGGTATGCATGGGCTTACTTGTGTTTACACTGCATCTTTGATGCCGTGAGAAACACATAAAATTGCACGCTACAGATTAGTAAGTAATCACAAGTGAGCCTGTGCATACCTTTCTTATTGGGTAATCCATCACTGCTCGAGGTAAACAGTGAAACAGGAGAAAACCAAAGAGGTCGAAAAACACCAGCCGTGGACTCCCTGGGGAGGCTGCAAGGTGTGGGGACCCCAAAGTCTCCACCCGGTGATGGCTCGAGGAGCCCGACGCAGGGGTGACCCCAGGTGAGCAGCTAGGGGGGAGAGACAGGTGACGCCAGAGTGCAGAGGGAAAGGAGGAGAGGAGAGAGGCAGGGCAGGGCCACGGCAAAGCCAAGGGCTGAAGACAGCCTCCCCAGCACGGAGGACGGACAGACGTCCCACCCACCCGGACAGCCCCACCTTGGTCCGCGGGCACAGACCGCAACAGAAGAGAGCTCCTTCACCCTCGCCTCGATATCTGTGGTCAGGGAACGGTCATGCATGGAGACCCCCAATACCTGTCAATGTGGCCCCGACGTACTTCCACGCACGTGTGCCCGGTCCCCAGCACTGACCTCAGAGTCAATAACGGCCCCAGGTACAGAAACCAAATAACGAAAACTGGGATTTAGAAAAGAGTGCAATTTTCCCTTCACAATGCGGATGACAGTGATTTGCAACAGAAAACATGATGCCAAGTAGGGAAAGTATTCCCGTCTCACTGCAGATTTCAGAAACGCACCCTTGACAGAAAACGGGGGCCATCTGACGTTTAAAGTTGGTAATGCTGGAAATTAAAAACAGGGTACTTAAGTGGAGATTTGCAAACCCATGAAGGGAACAGTGGCCAGGACCACTCTGCCACGGTTCAGGTCCAAGGCCCCAACTCATCACTGACCCCAGAGTTCCTCCCAGTTGGTTTCAGCCCCTGAAAAAGGACTGTAAAGAAAGGGCGACCGGAATCTGATGGCCACACTCTGGGGCAGTGGTGTGATTTATTTGTTTGGTTCTGTTCCCCACCCAGGTACTGGGCACCAACATCAGCGAGCACCGTGCCATGTCACTGTCACGCGAGGCCTCACGGGCTGGGCTGTCCCCCCGGTCCCCAGGCACCTCACAAGCCTGCTGCCACGCCCAGGCCGGCTGGAGCCTCCGCCATCCAACACTGACATATCAGCTGTCCACTGGCTCGGCTCACTTCAAACCTGACCACGGCAACCACACGCGTGCCAGCCTGTCCCCACAGGACAAAGAGGGGTCCCTGCACCGAACCACGACACAAGCAAATGAGGAGCGTTTCCAGGATGGAAGGGCAGAGTGAGGCATCTTTGTAGGAAGGTGTGCAGCCCTGTCCTTTCTGAACAGAAATGGAAAGCTCCCCGTGGTCGTGGACATGGCACCTACCATGGGCAGGCTCTCTGCCCAGGGCTGGTTAGTGCACAGGGGGCCCAGGCCACGGTGCCAGCCAGTGAGCACTCCCCTGCCAGAGCAGCTCCCTCAGCAGCTGTGATGCGGGAAAGGCCAGGACCGCCCCTGAGCCAGGACCACCCTGGAGCCGCACTTTGGGGCTCCAAGTACACAAAATCTGGATGGACTCAAGTCTACCGGGAGTGGCTTCTGTGGAATATTCTGCCCAGGACAATGACCCAGAGCACCCAACAAGACTGGACGGAAGCAGCTGTGAAGAACAGGCTAAGGGTCAGCAGCACTCCTGCAGACGCCAACACTGAGCATGGGCGGGTGATCGTGACACCCACCGTGGCCCCCTGCTCCCCCTCCATCCTCTGGCTACAGGTCCCTGGGCCCCTGAGACCAAGCCCAGGAGCTCTACTGTCTGGTAAGTCTTCAGTTGGGGGCTGAATTCCAACCCTAGGGGGCATGATCACCCCCTGTGGCGGTTCCCCTGCAGAGGCCGCAAAACCCCAGACCCTTGGCACAGAGTGGGTACCCTCACTTACATTCACACCAAAGTCTGGAGATGTGGAACTCCAAATGGCACCGATGCTCGCAACTGCCAGCATCGCCTCCAAGGCATGCATGCTGTTGGGTAAATAACCTGCAGGAGGGACAGAGGGAGAAAGCCTGCGGTTCAGGATGAGTCAGAGCCAGGGCAGCAGCCGGGAGGGGGGCTGGCCCTGAGCTGCCCCAAGGAGCACAGCCAGCCTGACCCACCCAAGCTGCCTTCACATCCCTCGTCACCCACCGCCGGCTATCCACTCCCACTCTCACCCTCCAACCATCTCTAGACCCCACTCAGAGCGACCCCCACGGCCCTGCCCTCCTCGCTGGCCCTGCCCTCCTCGCTGGCCTTTCCTCCTTCCACTCTCCGTCACTCTTGGGCTCCAGTCACAACGGCCTTGTTCTTTCAGCTGCTGGGTTGCTCTGAGCTCCTCCTGCCTCAGGGCCTTCGCACAAGCTGTCTGCACTGCTTGAACACCCTTCCACACGCACCAGCCTTTCCTAGCCAGTGCAGACTCGTCTATTGACTCTTAAACAAGACTTCCTGAGAGAGGCCTTCTCTGAGGCCATCCTGCCCAACACCCAAACTCAGGTCCACCAGCTATTCACCCTCAAAGCACACTGCATTTCTCCCTCACAGAGCTTACCATGACTGCAAAATAATAATCACCTATGTAATGACCTGTTTAATACCTGGTTCTCAGGTGAGGGCAGGGACTTTGCCTGTCTTGTTCTCTGCTTTACCATGCCCTGGGCATCCAAGCCCTCAGGTACTGGCTGGCATATGTTTGGGTGGGTGGTTGGATGGATGGCGGCTGGGTGGGTGGGTGGATAGGAGGGAGAGGGAATGAAGAATATAAGGAGGACATTCAAGAGGCATCTATAAATCCATTCAGGGCAGGGGAGGTGGTCAGGCCCTCCACTTAGTGGGAGGCTGAACTTTTAAGGCCAATAGAGGCAGATAATCTCTATCACCAGAGAGACTTTGATCAATTAACAGATCTTCCTAAATGATCAGAGGACAGGGCTTGGGCAAGAGGCGTCAGGGAGCAGAGGACACGGCCAATGCTTCCCCTGAGCAATGATGTGGCCCCCAGGTGGACCACAAAGGCCCTGGGGCTCCCTGGACAGCTCCGTCCCTCGGCCCCACCTCTGAACTGTCTACCTGGACCACAGCAATTGGTGCTTTGTGTCGCATCCATCTCCCCACCAGGCCAGGACCACCCCAAAGGGCAGGTTGTGTGTTGTTTGCTCAGCCTGCATGCTCTGCCCAGCACCTGGCGTGTGGCAGGCCCACGGACATTTGCTGAATTGAGTCAGCTAAGGGGATAAATTGTGGCTGTGAGCATAAACAGAAGACTCTCGATAGGGCCATTACCAAAGGGCAGGGCAGGAGTCACTGCCCCAGGAGGCTGCCAGGTACAGCTGTCTTCCTAGTGACTGAGAAATGGCCTAGAGTCAGCCCTTCTCCTGAAGCAGATTAGACAGTGACCTTGAGGACCACTTCACAGACAACAGAAAACTAAGCCATGAACAGTCTTAACTCCAGCTTTTGAAGCCCTTACAGCATCTACTCACTTAATCCTCCTCTGGAATCATTCCCTGGTGTTCTTGTCCGGGAAGCGCACAGTCCCAGACCTAATAACCATGGTGAGGTCAAGCTTAAACACACAAAGAAGGTGGGTCACACTGTGCCAGCCTGATTTTGAAGAGTCTAGGGCATCAAAGCCAGGGGTCTCTCCAAAGAAAGGACAGCCAGATGCAATCTCAACCATCTTCCTCCAACATACTTTGCTCGCAATTTCTCCTTCTCTCAGAAAAGTCTGCTTCAAAAGATCTTTAAAAATTTAAATTGGAAGGAAAAAAAAAACTGGAAGGTACAAAAACATTTTGCATTACTTTTCTAGGCCCTAAAAGAGTACAGGTTAAACTGGACCAAGAAGGACCCATGAAAAGTGAAGTTTCAGCCATAAAAATACCTGCTCCAATAATCGGTCCAGCTCCAGCCATTCCTTCAGAGCATACTTACTCTAGGCCTACTATGTGCCAGGCATTGTTCACAGACCGAGATACAGCAGGGAACAGAAGACAAAGTCCCTGCCTCTAGCACTGGCACAGATACACAAACACACAATCATGTAATTTCAGGAGAGTGATAAGCACTACAAAGAAAAATAAAGCAGGGTAGAAAAAGAGTGATGATGGGGCAGGGGATAAAACTTTCCACTGGATAACATGGAAAGAGGCCTCCAAGCAGGGACATCTGAGCAGAGGCCTTGATGGGCTGAATCACAGACCCCGTGTACATGTACAGGGAGAACATTCCATGGAGACCCCAAGACAAGAGGTAGACTTGGCATGTTCCTTTCTAGTTGCTTTCTTTCTAGTCAACTAATGTGTTGAGCGCTGTGGTGCAATGGATTGCTTTTGTGTGGCCTGTCTCACCATAGTCTTATAATTCCAACCCAGGTGACCGGGCAGAACTGGGCAGATACGGTAATTGTAGCCCACCAAAGGGACTGGTCAGTTTTGCCATCCCGCTGGGTTTGAAATGAGCTACCCCAGAGGCAGGAAAGAGAAGAGCCTACCACCACTAAGGAAGGGGAGACCGGCAGCAGAGACCCAGCAGGAGGAGATGGCACGGTGGGCTTCCCGGCCCACAGAGAGAAAGCTGAGTGCCTTTGGACAGAGGCTAAGGCCAGGGAGAGGCATGCCTGTGAGCACAGCTGGGAAGAGGCTGACCTGATGGAAGAACTGTATCCTTGAGTGATCCTGAGCCTGAACTGTAACCTGTGGCTTTCCTAATAAACCCCACAGTCATGAGTCTGGTCTGTGGGTTCTGTGTGGCCACTGCAATGAATTATCAAACCCAGCAGAGAAGCAGTGTCGTGGGAAGATGGCTGGTGTCAGAATTGGTAAAGATGGTGGCGAGAAGAGGCATATCTGACCTCTGCCTCATAGAAATCAGCCACGGGGTGTTGATCTTTAGTCTCCTTCCTCCCTGTGAAGTTAGAAGAGGTCAGGCACCGTTTTTACAAGCACTGACTCCACGGCCAGTTCTGTTATCTGAGAGGGAGACACAGGGTCCTGCCCACCAGGAGCCTCAGCCCAGCAATCACTCCCTCTTTGCAAACACACGTGACACACACTTGTAGTAAGATTCCTTAGGAGGGGACACCGATGCCAAACACCAAAGTTCCAAAGCCCAGAAGATTCTCCTACAACCAACACTGTCCTGTGGCCTCACCCCATGACCATGGGAGGGGCCACCTAGGATGGAAGTCAAGAACCCTGACCGCCAGGACCACACTAAAAGATAAATTACCTTTCTCTCTACCTGCTTATCCCTGTGTGCACATCTACCCACTTCTAAATTGACTAAAGTTCCCTTGGGGCAAAGAACAGGCCTATTTACAAGACTTTAAATTTTTTCCAAGATGTCAAGGTAAATGGAAAGTTGCAAGAAAACCATCTCAGCGGATCTTAGTAGGAAATCATGACTCACCACCAGGGGGAGCTCACAAGGGGCTCGGATCAGAGAGGGAGAGGGCGGCAAGCCTCCTGCTCCGTCTGAAAACTACCCCAGCTCCATCTAGAACCGTCCCCAAACAGGGCCTCTGCACAAGTTCCTGGCAACTCCTTACCTGGGTGGTGTGGAGGGGTCGCCAAGGCCAAGGGGCACTGCAGACAGAGGGAACAGCCCCAGAGTCGCTTCAGAGAGAAGGAGGGAGGAGGGGAAGTAAGAGCAAGGAGGGGATGGGAGAGGAGGCGGGAAAGTGAGTGAGAATTATACAGGGCTTTTCCATGTGGTTCTGGACACGGATCTCCACCCGGGGGGTGATGGGAAGTCAGTGAAGGCTCCAAGCAGGGAACGAACATAATCTTACACCACTGCTGTTAGTCCACAAGAGCAACTAAGTGGCCAAAGAAAAGAGCCCTATCCTTAGGTCTAAGAATAAAATCTGATTTCTGATCCCAGGGATAAATGGTTTAACCTCTCCATCAGCAGCATAGCAAAAAGCAGAGAGAAAACGACAATCACACTCAGCATCAGCGTGGCCTGGACAGGAAGCCGTTTGCTTTGTGCCATCACTGCCATCATCACTGGCCAGGTGGAGGCCCTGCTCTGGGTGCCTGGGGATGTAGCCAGGCAGAGCAGGCAAACACCATTCTCCACCCTGAGGCAGCCTGGTGAACTTGGACAGGCCTGAACCCTGACTTTCACCCTGAGCTCCAGGTGCTGTGGTCAACTTGAAAGAGACACACGCCACTCAACACAGTAGAAGGCGGGGCCCAGGAGAATTTGGACGCATAGCCTCTCTCTCCTGCTCTGTTTAAGATGAAGACACTCCTCTGCTCAGAGAGGTGAAGTTACTTGTCCAAACTCACACAGCGGCACGGTGGCAGCATCGGGTGCTGGAGTAAGGTCTCATGACTTGGAAAGCCTGGTGCTCATGCGCCTACAGTCTGCAGCCTCTCAGCTGCTGCTAAACAAACTCTCAGGAGGGCCGACGAGAGGAACTGCACCCTAAGAAAATCAGGGTAGTGACCTCAAAGAGGTGAGGGGCAAAGAAGGCGGACGATGAGCCGGGGAACCTGCGCCTTAGTCCTGGCTCAGTGGCTGGCCGGCTGAGAAAACGTCATCGGTTACTTCTGTTATGTTGCTGTCACGACACTGAACCTTAGAATCCATTTTGTTTAATGAATTTGTGATGAAGTGTTCTGGGGATGACATTTCATGCCTCGCTATTATTTTCAGAAGCTGGGTGTTTCCATATACATGAATTTTCAATTAACACATTTATTGTTGACGTTTTAAAAATCAACACTCATTTTACATGACATCCTTTTAAAAGTAAAAAAAAAATCAACTGGCTAATCTACTTTTCTCTCTAGGCCTCAGTTTCCCATCTGTGAAAAAAAGGGGTTGGTGACTTCTAAGGCTCCTCAGAGCTCTAGTCCTCTGGGGTCTATGAGCAAGAGGAAATCGGCCAAATGAGTCTCTTGGCTAATTAAACCCCCTCTCCTGGGTTTTCGGGGTTAGAACTGCAATAGTGTCGGCACAAATGGCAAAAATTGTAGAGTGAAATTCACCCCTGGAAACGCCCTAGGAAAGCGCGGCATTGGAGGCAGACGGACCACCTCTCAGGAAGGTCCCACACCCACCCCCCACAGCGTTTGAAGAGATCACCATTACTTTAATCAAGCACCAGATGAACGATCTGGCTGTGTTTAAAGAGCACATTTTATAAAAAATTCGTGGCTGAGTGAAAAGATCAGTGGTTGCCGGGGGACGGGGTGGCATGAACAGATGGAGCACGGGGCATTTTTAGAGCACAGAGACTATTATGCATGGTACTGTCACGGTGGGTACAAGGCACTGAGCCCTAACATGAAGGTGGACTGTAGTTAACGGCAGCGCATCTGTATCAGCTCACAACAGTTTCCCTGATTAGTAACACACAGGGAGAGGACAGGCTCCTCATCATCCAAGTCCACTCGCCTCAACCACATCAACACCTGGTAGGCTGCCCTCCTTCAGCCACATTCTACGTTTATTTTTTGCTGAGCACATACAGGTAGAGTCCTGGAGGGTTATATGTAATATAATGCAATTCCATCTTATTCCAAAAGTCAGCTCAACCTTCTAGGCCATTCTGCCTCGGTGCCCTCCCCCCGGAACCGTCACCACCACCAGGACTACTCACCAACGACGCGATCTCCCACTTTTACCCCCATTTTCCTCATTGCTGCTGCAAACAGAGCCACTTGCTGCCTCAGCTCTTCAAAGGTCACCTTCACAATCTCTTCTTTGCCTTCCCCTGGGCAGAGAAAAAGGGCGGATCATACCCTTGACCATCAGGACAAAGAAAGGTCCAGAGCCACAGACATTGGGCTAAAAATCACACCTGTTTAAATGCAGGCAAGAAATACAAGCCCAGGGAAACAGTATACCAATGCAGAGAGAGACTGGGTGAAAGTTAGCCTCTGAAATGCACTCAGAGAATCTGCCATTTATAGACTTTCTATTAGGAAGGCTTTTACTAAGAGGAGAATCCTTTGGCTTTTTGTTGTCTTTTCTTCTTTGGAACTTTTTATTTTGAAACCATTATAGATTCACAGGAAGTTGCTAAGATAGGACAGAGAGGTCCCGCGTACCCTTCACCCAGTTTCCCCCAGTGGTTACATCTTGTTGTTGTGGTTGGTTATCTGCGAGGAGACTTTGACTCATAGTGATTCCCTGTGACAGAGTAGAACTGTCCCATAGGGTTGCCTAGACTGTAATCTTTATGGGAGCAGATCGCCAGATTTTTCTCTCAAGGAGCCACTGGTGGGTTTGAAAGGCCGACCTTTTGGTTAGCAGCCAAGCGCTTAACCACTGTGCCACCAGGGCTCTTTGGTTACATCTTATACAACTTAATACAGTATCAAAGCCAGGAGAGCAGGGAAAAAAGCCAGGACACTGACATTAGGACAACATGTGCATAGTTGTCATTTTATGACATTTCCTGTCATCACTGCAATCACAGTACAGAACATTGTTACTACCACAAAGATCCTCCTCCTGCTAGCCCTTTATAGTCACTCCCGCTGTCCCCAACATCCCTCCCGGCTGGCAAGCACTGATCCGTTCTCCATCTCTGAAACGTCGTCATTCCAAGCGTGTTTAATAAGTGGAATCATACAGTATGTGACCTTTCAAAATTGGCTTTTTCACTCAGTGCCCTTGAGACTCATCCAAGTTGTCAAATGGATCTATAATTCGTTCTTTTTTACTGCTGAGTAGTATTCCACCTTTGGTTTGGTTTAGATAATGCTTTTTTTTAGATTATAAACGTAATGCAAACTCACTGTAGAAAACTGATCTTGCTAAAAAAAAAGTATAAATAAGAAAATAAAATGATCAACCTCACTAATAATAAAAGAAATGTATGTTAAAACCATGAGAGACTAACTTTCACTTGACAGATTGGTAAGGATGGAAAATGATGGTGTGGAAGCCAGGCTTCACCGCAGCCCCCAGTGACCCTGCCTCATGGTAGTCACACCCGCGTGTAGTCCCTCCCACACTGAACAGGCCCCAGATAACCAGGAAGATATTGTGGGAACGATAAAGTGACTTCTGAACCTAGGTCACAAAAGACATCAGAGCTTCCATTTTGCTCACTCTGGAGGAAACCAGCCACCATGTTGTGAAGACACTCAAGCAGCACTGTGGAGAGGCCCATGTGGTGAGGAACTGATGCCTCCTGCCAAGAGCCATGTGAGGGAGCCATCTTGGAAGTGGATCCTCTAGCACCTCATAAAAGACCCCCAAGCCAGAACCACCGAACTAAGTCACTTCTGAATGTCTAACCCACAGAAACTGTGAGGTCATAAATGTTTACTGTATTAACCCATTGTTCTGGGGTAATTCGTTACACAGCAATAAATAACTAACACAACTAGTAAGACTCAATGTGTGAAGGTGTAGAAACATTATTTGAATGTACCCTTGACAAGAAAGATAGCAATCCTTTGACAACCATCTTGGCTGCAAATATCTTCTTTCCGATAGTTGCTTGCTTTTCAATTCTACAACACAAACTATCTCTTTTCCAAAGTACATCAGCGTCCTGATTTCCCTTTTGTGTGAATCCGGATTTTCCTTTATCAAATTTGCAGCAAGCTGTATGTGCTGCCCTCTGTTCTGGTCTCCCCTCCCTGGGATATAGCCTTTTGGTTCTACATTCCCAACTCAGGTGGTTTTCTGTCCTGTAAAAAAGTTCAGCAACCTGATACCCACTGTTCCAAGATAAAATGTGCTGCAGAGGGAGCAGTTCTGACCGTGTGGACACGGATGGGCTGACGTTGTTTGTGCACCACTCACTAGAGCATGAAGGCTGAGGGCACACACTTCCTTCTTCTCCAGGCTCTCACGCCCTGGCCGGCAGCAATATGGGGGAAGTATTAACTCTACTGAGAATGCAGCTCCGAGCAGAGCTGCATGAGCACCTGCGCCCAGGTGGGAGAGTAAGAACAAGTCAGTGAGGCACTCGGAAAAGGAAATGCAAATTATGTTTCAAGTTCCTAAGCCGGTAAGCCACTTCAGGACCCTGCTTAAGACAACTAGATGGTGCCCGGCTACCCCCACTGACTGCTCTGACTGGGAGCATGATAGAGGGTCCCAGGCAAAGCTGGAGAAAAATGGAGAACAAAATTCTAACTCACAAAAAAAGACCAGACTTACTGGCCTGACAGAGACTGGAGACACCCTGAGAGTATGGCCCCCAGACACCCTTTTAGCTCAGTAATGAAGTCACTCCTGAGGGTCACCCTTCAGGCAAAAATTAGACAGGCCTAGAAAACAAAATAAGACTAAAGAGGCACACCAGCCCAGGGACAAGCGCTAGAAGGCAGGAGGGGACAGGCAAGCTGGTAATAGGGAACCCAAGGTCGAGAAGGGACAGTGTTGACATGTCGTCGAGTTGTTAACCATTGTCATAAAACAATATCTGTACTAACTGTTTAACAACAAACTATTTGTTCTATAAACCTTCATCTAAAGTACAATAAAATTTAAAAAAAAACCCTGCTTAAGTGAGATACCTACTTTGTAGACTAAGTGGGATCCCTGGTTTGAGGGCACTTACTCCCACGGCCAATTTGAGGAAGGGGGAGCTCATTAAGGACAGGGGCTCAAATATTTAAAAGCCAAAGGGTGGCGACATCATGGCAACAAAGGGGAAGTGGGAAGGAGACGCAAAACCACAGCAATGCCTTAACCCATGCTCCAAAAAGAGCAAGGCTTTAAAAAGAGCAGAAAGGCAACCCGTTGTGTTCAGCCAGGACACATCTATGAGACAGTAAGAGACGGAGAGCAAGCACACCCAGGGCAGTCCCCACCAGCCACCCAAATTACAAGTCCTGGGAGGACTGGCCGCTCTTATAACCAGCAATCAGGTCTACTATTGTTTTTTTAAAAGAAGATTCACATTTGACCTTTCCCACTCCCCACTAAGAGAAACCAGAGCATTCACAAATTGACTGAGTTACTGAGTAAAGTATGCACACATTTAAAGGGGCCAGGAGAAGAAGGTACACGAGAGACCCATTGGTCTAGCTCTTCAGGATGATGAACACCATGACTGTGATGGTGTCCCAGGAAAGTTTCCACAAGGGTCCTGGTGCCTCAGGAGGCACAGCCCTATGAGTCTCTTAAGGATAAGTAAAATGTGAGCTATCCATACAACGGAGTATCATTTGGTCATAAAAAGGAAGAAGTTCTGATACATGCTATGACATGAATGAACCCGAGGTAGTTAGTTAACATCAAGGAGCTGCCATCAAATCAACTTCAACTCATGGCGACTCCATGGGTCAGAGTAGAACTGTGCTCCACAAGACTTTCCATGGCTGATTTTTTGGAAGTAGACTGCCAGACCTTTCTTCTGAGGAACCTCTGGGTGGACTCAAACCACCAACCTCCCAGTTAGCAGCCAAGCGCATTAACTGCTCACACCACCGAGGGACTCCAACTCTGAGGTAGTCACTTAATCTTAGGTGTGTCAATTTCTCCCATAAAACAGCATGGACCATATAACTGGTCGCCTCCCCTTCCCAGAGATAATAAAAAGTGAAGAAGTAAGCTATCATGCCACAAAAAGACATGGAGGAAACTTAAATGCATATTGCTGTGAAGGAAGCCAGTCTGAGAAGGCTACATACTGTGTAACTCCCATTCCACGACATTCTGGACAGACAAACTATAGAGACAGTGAAGAGGTCAGTGGTTCCAAGGGTTGAAAGGGATGAACAGGTGGAACCACAGGGCATTTTCACAAGCTGTTCTGCATGATACTCTAACGGCAGACACACGACATTGTGCATTGTCTAAACGTGCATGACTGTACAACACACAGTGACCCCTAACGTAAACAATGGACTCTAGTTAGTCAGAATGTATCAATATTGGTTCATCAATTTAGAAAATGTACCACATCAATGCAAGATGTTAATAACAGGAGAAACTGTGGGTGGGGGGAAAGGGAGTATATGGGAATTCCCTGTACTTGCTGTTAAATTTTTGTGTAAACTTCACACCACTCTAAAAAATACAGTGGTTGTTGTTGGCTGCCACTGAGGCAAGCCCCAACTCATGGTGGCCCCATGTACAACGGGATCAGACCAGTGTGATCCACAGGGCTTTCACTGGCTGACTTTCACAAGTAGATCACCAGCCTTCCTTCCTAGTCCATCCTAGTCTGGAAGCTCCACTGAAACCTGTTCAGCATCACAGCAACATGTAAGCCTCCACTGACAGACAGATGGTGGCTGTGCACGAGGTGCACTGGCCAGGAATCGATCCTGGGTCTCCTGCATGGAAGAAAAGTTTACTAATTTTTTTCAGAAAGTCAGTGGATGTCTTAGTTACATCAGAAGCGTGCAGAGACATTGTTTGAATACCACACAGTAAAGTCTGAGCGCTCCCGGGCTCCACAAACATGTGGCACTGCACGCAACAGGCACCCAGAACACGAGCGGAAGTCCGCATTGTTGTCAGGACTCACTTGCAACATACAGGGCGACGTGGTCATTGTCTTTGTGTCGCAGGAGGTTTTCCGCATAGTTTAAACGGCTGCCTTTGAACCACTCGGGCACATCAGTGATTCCTTTCGAAGTGTCCACAACCTGCAAGACACACACACAAGGGCTACATCATGAAGAAACACAACCAATCCAGCTTCCCAGAAAGCCAGCTAACTCGCTGGCCCAACACAGCACTGAACCGTTGGTTCTACAGGCTGATTTCTGACCATGGCCCAAGGGCTTGAACCGAAAATAGAAATTAACACCAAGAGAAGATGACCGTTGCCATTAATTTACTGTCAGCAGATATTTATTAAGTACCTACTTTATGCGAGATGCTAGAGATAGAAGGTAAGTAAAGCAGACGCAGCTTCTGTCCAGTGCCCAGGCTCTGACGAGGACATCTGAGAATCTGGAGATGGAGCTAAGGGCCAGCTGCAGAATGGGCAGTACCTGCCCCTCCCATCATCATTTTCTGGTTTACTCTTCATCTACTTCTTCAGGGTTCTGGAACCTTGATTTTCTTCTCAAAGTGTATACAGATGAACCTTTCAGATGGTCACCCCATAACCAGACCAAACATACATAATAAATAGTACACTGAATAACAGGATTCCCTTTCCCCAGATTACAAGAAAACAAAACAAAAACGTTGTCGTCAAGCTGATTGTGACTCACGACACCGTGTGTGACAGGGCAGAAGAGCAGAACTGTGCTCGACGGGGTCTTCACGGCTGATTTTTTGAACGTAGACTGCCAGGCTTTTCCTCCAAGGCACCTCTAGGTGGGCTCAAGTCTCCAACCTTCCAGTTAGTAGCCAAGCACTTAACTGTTGGTGCCACCCAGCTTCTCTCTTTCCCCCAGATACTTATTGACTGCTAGTGTAAGGAATTGTAAAACTCTCTAAAACCCAGGTTAAGAAAGAAAAACTACTTATAGTTTCAAAAACAACAACCTACTCTTGAGGGTTGCTCCAGTTCTCAGGACTGGGCCAGGGGTCCACACACGAGAGGCCCACAGATTACAAAGTCTCAACGGGGTCCCCGACCCCAACCCAGTTTAATGCTGACTCTCTAGGGCAATGAGTTTTTTCCCATAGATGACTAAGGGTTTTAAAGGAGACACGATTTAGGATTCCTAAAAATTAGCACTTTATTTTGAAACACAACCTTTAAAAAGATGACGCATTAGCCAAATTTTGACTTACCTCATCATACATGCATGAGAAGACAATTCCACTAAACTTCCAGAACTCTGCCCAGAAGTCCGAATATGACTTCACTGACCAGTGATACAGGTCATCATAATTGTCTAAAAAAAGAAAAAAAGAAATGGCACACAGCTCAGATAAACCTGTGCTGTTGTTATGTGCCGTCGAGTGGATTCCAACTCATAGCGACCTCGTGTGACTGAGTAGAACTGACCTATAGGATTTTCTTGGGTATAATCTTTTTTTTTTTTTATTGTACTTTAGATGAAGGTTTACAGAGCGTATTAGTTTGGCATTAAACAATTAATATACATGTTGTTTTGTGACACTGGTTGCCAACCCCACGACCTGTCAACACTCTCCCCTTCTTGACCTTGGGTTCCCCATTTCTTGGCTGTAATCTTTATGGGGACAGATTGCCGGGTCTTTCTCCTGCAGAGCCGCTGGGTAGGTTTGAACTGCCAACCTTTCAGTTAGCAGTTGAGTGCTTAACCATTGTACCACCAGAACTCTTTAGATACACCTTAGAAGGCAAGTTTTAGCTGTTCAGTAGTAAGCCTGCCCATCTAAGGAACTGCAGGTGTGTCTGAGTGGGTCAAAGACCACGGGTGAGAAGCAATCTAGGGAGGAGGGGATTGATCTTAATTTGTATTGCAGCAAACCCACCACTGCTACTCCCCAAAAGGAACACAAGCCACAAGGCAGTGATTTCATCTTACCCACTTGCCTAAGAACAGGGTCTCTGGAGCCAGCATGCCTGGGTTCAAATCCTGCTCAGCCATTTATTAGCGTGCGACCTCAGGTGAGTTACTTAAGCTCGCTGTGTCTGTTTCCCCAACTGTAAAATGGGGATGGTTAACAATACCCCCTTCATATGGCTTGTTATGGATTGAACTGTGTCCCCCAAAAATGTATGTCAACTTGGCTAGGCCATGATTCCCAGTATTGTGTGGTTGTCCTCCATTTTGTAATCTGATGTGATTATCCTGTGTTGTAAATCCTAACCTCTATGACGATAATGAGGCAGAATTAGAGGCAGTTATATTAATGATGCAGGACTTAATCTACATGATTAGGTTGTATCTTGAGTCAATCTATATTGGGATATAAAAGAGAGAAGCAAGCAGAGAGGAGAGGGACCTCATAACCACCAAGAAAGAAGAGACAGGAGCATGCGTCCTTTGTACCCAGGGTCCCTGAACTGAGAACCTCCTAGACCAGAGGAAGATTGATGACAAGGACCTTCCCCCAGAGCGGACAGAGACAGAAAGCCTTCCCCTAGAGTTGGTGCCCTGAATTTGGACTTCTGGCCTCCTGAACTGTGAGAAAATAAACACTTGTGGTATTTCTGTTATAGCAGCACTAGATAACTAAGGGCTGTTGGGAGGATTAAAACGAGCACACGTATAAAGTGCTTAGACCACAGCCTTGGACATAATCAGTCCTGTATTAAGAGTTTGCTATTTTATACCATGCAAACTTAGGAAATCTATATTCAGTAGATTCAAAAACCCCGAAGTTCAAAACTGGTAGCTTTCTGATGGACTTCTCATGCCAGTGCAATGTTATGGTGTTTTGGGGCTTGTTTATTTTGATTCTTGAATAAGCAATACATTCACGGGTACAAAATTTGTTGTTGTTAGCCGCTGTCGAGTCAGCCCCCAACTCATGGCAACCCCACGTACAGTGGAACAAAACGCTGCTCAGTCCTGCCCACCCCGTGATTGGCTGTGAAGCAAACCATTGTGATCCACAGGGTTTTCACTGGCTGATTTGTGGAAGTAGATCACCGGCTTTCTTCCTAGTCCATCTTCATCTGGAAGCTCTGATGAAATCTGTTCAGCATCAGAGCAACATGTAAACCTCCACTGACGGGTGGTGGCTGCAGATGAGGTGCACTGGCCAGGAATCAAACCCAGGTCTCCCCCATGGAAGGCAAGAATTCTACCACTGAGCCACCACTATCCCTGGTACAAAATTACAAAAGGATAGATAAGGTTCTGTGGTCAAAAACAAAAAAAAAAACTCTTCTCCCTCTAAGCCACAGCCATCTAGTTCTTCTTCTCCTGAGACAATCAGTTATAGAAACTTCTTTGTGTCTTTCCGGAGATATTTAACGCATAAAATATACATATCCCCACCACCAGTTGCCGTCAAGTTGGTTAGCAGCTGAGCATGTTAACCATTTGCACCACTCAGGGATAAAATACATGCTTAAGTATATCCCTCCTTCCCACTTGTACACTATTCACACCAGGTTCTAATCCTGTGACCTTGGGAAAGTCTCTTCCCCTACTTGCACCTCACTTCTCTCTTCATTAATATATTTTAGTAGGATATACGTTCACTGTTGTTGTTAGGTACTGTTGAGTTGATTCCAACTCACAGCGAACCTATGTACAACAGAACAAAACACTGTCCAGTCCTGCACCACCCTCATAATCGTGTCAATCCATCTTGTTGAGAGTCTTCCTCTTTTTCACTGACTTTCTACTCTACCAAACATGATGTCCTTCTCCAGGGACTGGTCCCTCCTGATAACATGTCCAAAGTGCGTGAGACCAAGTCTCGCCATCCTTGCTTCTAAGGAGAATTCTGGCTGTACTTCTTCCAAGACAGATTTGTTCATTCTGCTGGCAGTCCATGGTATGTTCAATATTCCTCGCCAACGCCATAATTCAAAGGCATTAACTCTTCTTTGTTCTTCTTTATTCATTGTCCAGCTTTTGTATGCATATGAGGCGACTGAAAACACCATGGCTTGGGTCAGGTGCACCTTAGTCCTTATGCATACCCAAATTCAAAGGAGACAAGAAGCTCTTTAGCAAAATCTCCCACCCACCTGTCCCCCAGCTACTGGGTTCCCCTGAGATAACTCAGTGTTGATATTTCTTTTCTCTTCTCCCAGAGATGTTCAGGGAGGAAAGGTTTTTTGGTTTTGTGGGGTTCCTCTTTTCCTCTTTTTCACACAAACGGTAGCCTGCTTTACCCACTGTAAAAAATGGCTCGATGGCATCAGAGCTCCTCTAACGTCAGGGGAAAGGAGAGTCACCATCAGCAGCATCAGCTCAAGGCTGACGAGTCCAGTGAGGTAGAGGTGGAGGTCAAACAAACCTCCGCCCTCCAACCTTTTTACTAATTCTGACAACAACTGTCGCTCCCATGGCACTCTCTACTTCTCTGAGTTTGATAACTCATTGCAATGGCCACACAGAATTCACAGACGATACTGTATTCATGATCATGGAGTTTATTACGGAAGTACCAGGTTATAACTCAGGATCAGTATCAGGAAGCACGTAGGCAATGTCTCCCTTCTTCAGTGCAGGACAGCTCTCTCAGCTCCTCTCGAGCCCCCTCAGGACAGGCTCCTCTCCCAGCCCTCAGCCTGGCCTCTGCCCTGCTCAGTCAAGGGTCATAAAGCTCTTTAGCTCTGCCAGTAAGTTGGCCGGAGGCACCCCACTCCGGCAGCCAGTGAGCCTCCTGCCAGAAGGCCCTCTGCTCTCTCGTTCAGTGGGTCAGCATGCCCATTGTGGGCGCCTTGCTCTAGCCCGCCACATAGTGACACACTGGTCTCCTGCCGCCATTTCTCTGCCACTGTTTCTTGCCATCTCATGCCATCTCTGGTGTTACATCTGGCTGTCTATCTCCTGGGTCTGGGAGGTTCTCAGCACAGGTACCTGGGTCCAAAGGATGCACTTCACTCCTGGCTCTACTTTCTTGTGGTAGTAAGGTCCTTCTTCACTTTCCACCTCTGGAATGGCTCATTTTAAGCCTAGCAGGACGGCAAAACTGACCAATCCCCTCATTAGGGTTCTACATACCATATTTGCATGGTTCCACCCCCACAACAGCACCATGCACTTTATCTGCATTATTAGCAAGCTGTCCAATCCCCCTGGTGGGCCACAAGCACCTCATTTGCATAGTCCTACCCAATCATTTGATGGGAATTACAAGACCATGGCGAGATAGGCCATATGAAAGTGATCCATCACACCGCACCCACTATTCTGCAACTTGCTTCTTTCACTAGAAATCTTTCCCACCAGTACATAAAAAGCAGCCTCATTCTTTCCTAACAACCACAAAGTACTCCACTGCATAAATGTATAATTTACTGAACCAGAATGCTGTTTTAGGATAGTTAGGCTACTTCCAGTTTTCTGCTAACATACTACGCACAGCTGTATTTTAAACAGCACAAGAGCAGCAAAAGTGTACAGAACAAATCCAAACCAAAACCAAACTCCCTCAGATGAGCAATTACCCTTCATACCCACTTAAAATCAATGCCAGTTCCTTCCACGACACTGGGTGGTTAACCCTGGGCTCCAGGGCCAGGGCGGATGGCCTCAGTCTGAACCTCAGCTTTGCCACTTTCTAGAGTGAGACCCTGGGCAAGCTGAGCCTCGGCATCCTCATCTGTAAACTGAGTGTGATGACAGCGACTACTGTAAAAGGTCAAGGTGAGGACCAATACAGCGTATTACTTAAGGAGCACAGGCTCTGGAGTCCAACTGTCCGGGTCCAAATCCTGACTCTGTCATTCGCTAACTGGCACAAAGAAGAAGAATGACTTGTCCGAGAACACTCAAGTTTGTGAGGGGCGGAGCCAGGACTCCTTGCTGGGTACCAGCAACCTGTGAGGATGACCAAAAAAACCAAACTTGTTGTCATCAAGTCAATTCCGACTCATGGCAACCCCACGTGTTACACAGCAGACCTGCTCCATGCGGTTTTCTTGGCTGTAATCACTACAGAAGCAAATCACCAGGCCTTTCTTGCGCAGTGCTGCTGGGTGTGTTCAAAGTGCTAACCTTTTGGCTAGCAGCTGATCAAACTGTCTGTGCCACCCAGGGACCTCCTGTGGGGACTGAACGAGTAAAAACCCATACAGCACTCAGAATAGTACGCAGCACAGAGCAGTGCGCAAAGCAGTCAGTCATTATCGTCACCCTATCCGTTTTGCAGGAGCAGGTGTCGGTCAGGCCGCCTGATAGGACACACTGAGCCATTACGTGGGGACAGGGACATGAACGCACATAAAGTGATAACTAGGAGGATCCCACTAGACAAGCAGGCAGTGTAGCCTCAGGGT